TTATGTAAGGATACAAAGTCTTGCAATATATGTATGAGGAAACACGTCTCATGCTATGCATAAGGAAACATCGTCTTCTGCCTCACACAAGGAAACATTATCTTTTGTGGCACACAAACATACATACACATACATGCAATATATAACAAATCATTTTCAACGTACCATATCAAAGAACCATCCTCCCTCGGAGTTTGGTTGAACAAACGGGGGATTAACCCCAAGGACCGAAAGCTTACCTGGCAAACAATGTCCTCCAACAAATCCCGTGTCCACAAAGTCATAATCACGATCTCTCACAAGGTCACAACCTAGTTCCAAGATGTGAAGACAATTAGTACCAAACTAATCTATCACATTCAATCTCCAATATTACACATACAAGACATCTACACTTGATTTTTAATCCAATTTATCAAAGTGTTCTAAATGAAGATTTCACAATTTTTTCTTTTACGGGAACCAATCCCAAGCATGTTTGACAAAGGTAGCCATATCCAAATCACTCTCTAACCCATCACACCATTAAAATTTTGAATTCACTATTCATCAAAACCTAAAATTCTTAAAATTTCATGGAAACAAGAAAAGAGAGGTGATTCCTTACCACAATGTACCCTAGAATGAAGGGGAAAACATACTTCAAGCTCCCATGGCCCCAAGCTCCATCAAAACCCATCTTTTCCATGAAACACGAAATCTTAGGGGAAGAAGAAATTTTTCTACAGTGAACCCCACACGAAAATATGGGTACCATTGTATTCTTCTCGAAATTTCTCTCAAGTTTGGCTTTGGAACCAGGTGATTTGGAGGTCTCTAGCTTTCTTTATGATTCTTGAAAGATTTCAATCAAATTTCTCTTTTCTCTCCTTATTTGTTCGACGTCTGCCGGAAGAAAAAGAAGAAATAAGGGGATTTTGACACTTTTCAATTATATAGGTTAAGTGAGATTCAACTGGATAAATGCTTATCTATCTAGTCACCTCCATTCATTACCAAACTTTACCCAATGGATTAGAATATTTTTCTAGTCATATTTCTATTTTTACTTTTACCTTTTGAGTAATTTTGCCTACTCACATTTTTTTCTCTTAACTGTCATTTTAACTCATTTTTCTCCAAAGGTAATTTTATTTCTTTTTCTTATACTCCTCTTTTAATTATTCGTCAGTATTATGATAAAATTATTAATCCATAATTAAATCCACAGTTACATGTAAAGGTTATTATATCATGTAAATAAGAAATCATATAAATTAAAGAACCTACTACATCGTGTAATTGACTGCTACAGTAGTTCTGTAAAAACACACACTATTCTTTAGTGTAAAAGGAATTATGACAAGTTAATAATGTAATTAGTAGTTAATTACACATTGTAGCAGGTTCTATAATTTATATGATTTCTTGTTTACATGACTTGATATCACATAACTTGATGACGTGGGTTATTATACAATGAATCATTTGAATGCAAAGTATGAACCATACCTAACAAAACGATCCCAAAAGATTTAGAAGTTTTTCCAACATAAGGGATATATATCATCGGCAAAAAAATTTAATTATTGCATTTTAATTAAATAATTACGCATTTACTGCAGTTTTGGAAATAATTACGGATCTATTACACAATGTGACGCCTTTTTTGGGTGTCACATGTGACGCCGAATTTAGGCGTCTCTCACCAAAGGGAAGACGCCCCAATGGAGCGTCTCTCATGAGGTGTTGACACGTGCCATTTTTTTTCCAAAAAAAATAATAATTTAATCATAAAACTTCTGAAGGCCATAACTTTTGACTCGAGTATCCAATTCAAGTAATTCTTTTTTTGATTCCACATAACTTTTCGAGATCTACGCAATGACATCTCATTTGACATATTTTATTTCTCACAAACATAATTTAAATTTAAATCAGGTAATCCTTCTTCCTTAGAGATTTAGAATATTTATTTAATTATTTCCTTTATTAATACATATTTTTCAAATTGATTTTTGAGTTTAAATCACAAATCAAATCTTTATTCTGTTTTCCTTATTAATAATAATTGTTACTTTTAATTTAAATCACAAACCAAAATTTTTTTATAATAAAAATAAAAATAAAATTAAATCACACATCAAATCTTAATTTATTTTTTATATTAAATCACAAACGCAGAACTCAGAGGCTTCTGAGTTTAAAAATGTAACACGTGTCAACATCTGACACGTCACCAATCACGTCTAAATTGAGTTTCAATCGAGAGGCAATCACGCCTAATTTAGGTAATTTTATTTTTGAAAAACATGCAGAAGCCATCATTAATTTCAGACCACGAATAATAACCCAGAAGCTTATAGCATTAATCATTAATTTCAAAAATAATATCCTTCTTCCTTAGAGATTTAGAATATTTATTTAATTGGCAAAAAAATTAATTTAATGTTTTTTAATAAAATAACTACGCATTTATTAAATTTTTAGAAATAATTACGGATCTATTTAAAAAAATATTTTGTTTATTTCTACAGATTTTTCAAGTTGATTTTTTAGTTTAAATCACAAATCAAATCTTTATTTTTTTTCTTATTATTAATAATTTTAATTTTAATTTAAATTTAAATCACAAACCAAATTTTTGTTATAATAAAAAAATTATTATAAAAAAAATTAAATCACAAATAAAATTTTATTTATTTTTTTATATTAAATCACAAACCCAGAACTCAGAAGCTTCTTGGTTTAACCGCTTTTATAATACCATTTTTGCAAATTAAAATTGTGTTTGTGAGAAATAAAATATGTCAAATGAGATGTCATTGCGTAGATCTCGAAAAGTTATGTGGAATCAAAAAAAGAATTACCTGATTTAGATATCCGAGTCAAAAGTTATGGCCTTCAGAAGTTTTATGATTAAATTAATTTTTTTGGAAAAAAATATGACACGTGTCACCACCTCATGAGAGACGCCTAAATGAGGCGTCACATGTGCCGCCCAAAAAAGGCGTCATATTGTGCAATAGATCCGTAATTATTTCCAAAACTGCAATAAATGCGTAATTATTTAATTAAAATGCAATAATTAATTTTTTTTGCCATATATCATCAATTGTGAGAGTTTATGACTTTTTTAACAAATTTATATAAAAATAACACAGACCCCCTCCAAAAAAAAAGTATTTGCAAATATTTAGTGAATGTTGAAAGGGTTGTTCCAAGTTAATTAGTCGTATCAAATTCAAATTTTGGATATGCAGCTGTATTAAAAACTTGATAGGGAGAGCTTTGTCACCCGTATGGTACTGTCTCACTCGATCAAATTAGTCAATTAATTGATGAACTAGTATAGAAATATCCAACAAACAAAAGTACTCTCTCCGAATCAATTATTTTTTTATATAAATTTTCAAATATAAACTCTAATAAAGATTTTTAAATGTGTGGGGTATTGTTCTCTAATAATTTATAAAAGGTTTTATTAATCTCATGTTAAAGGAGATAAGTTATCTCATGACATAGAGATAAATTTGTGGGCTCCACGCCACCTGAAAAATTAAAAAGAAAAGAAAAAGAAAAAGGTAGCACAGTTATCGAAGGGTGTGGAGGAGAGAAAATTTATCTTATGTAGCATAAGAATAGTTTTTCCCTTTATAAAATATGTATTTTTCAACCACCTTATTTTCGTTTTCAAAATTTTTATAATTAAAGTGTTAAAAATAAAGGAAATAATTATCTTATGTAATAGATACAAGATAGTGAGGTCCACTACTTTAAAAAAAAAAGATAGTGGACCCTACTACCTTCCCTCTATTGCATAAGATCATTATCTTATGTAACATAATATAAATAGATCCCTAAAAATAATATACATATCATTAATTTTTTGGTGAAAAACTTATCATATTATTTTTTATTAGAGAACAATGTATACAATAAATACCTAAAATCTCTTTAAGGGACATTTGATAGAGGTGAAATTTTTTTTTGTCCAGAAATCATGATTACTAAGAATATGCTAAAAAAGTAATTTGTTTGAGAATGTGACCAAAAACTTATTTGGTAAAAAAAAATATTACTGAAAATATTGACTTAAGTTTACTAATTCTATATTTGGTTGATTGTTAAATATTATCGGGAATGTCAAATTTTTCCAACATCCGGAATGTCAAATTCTATATAATGGTATTTTTGGATGTCATTTTGCTATATAATTTGTTCACAAATCAGAATCTCGGTAAGATCAGATTCATGGAAATTTTTTGAAAAATCTTATGCCAAATATGTATAAATAGAATTTCCAATACCAATTTCCTGGAAATCCAAAAAAAAGTTCATATTATAGAAATCTTGTCCATTTTTTTGTTAGTGCTGTGATTAAAAAACTGTTTATCTATACAGCGATATATGCCATTTTTATTTTCTACTGCAAGCTAATTTTACTTAAATTAAACATTTATTTGCATGGATTTATAACATTCGATACTCCCAGAGTTACAAAAAATTCTAAGCACTTAGACTTCATTTTTAAACCTTTTAGGACTATAAAAAAAAAAAAAAAGGCTTCTTGCTGTAAAGTGAAGGCACTTGTGAGTACCGTAATATACAGTTTACAAATTCTGCTTATTTTGATGGCTAATTGTTAATGGGTTATATATGTATCATGTAATAGGGAAGTTACTGTTTATCTCTGCACGCACAATATGTAAACTCACCATTTAACTTTCTTTCTATATTGATGGTACTCTTTTATGGTCACATAGACAAAGCAATATTACTACGGTGGAGGATGAGAGAAATACACATTGTTTATTAAAAAGGAAATGTATTATTGATATATTTCGAATGATATAACACCACCCAACCCGAAATAAATGCCAGTGCTAGAGACTCTTCACTCTCATACAGAAGGCAAAATGTGGCAAACCAAAAATCCTGTAATTAACTTAGAATTGGAAAATCAAAAGGTGCATAAGGAAGGAAAAAATTGGCAAGGAATCCCAAAACGTTCACAATAATCAACACTTAGGGAGATCAGCCGGTGGAGGAGGCAACTTCTGATTAGGGAGCTTCCCATCCTCAACTATCCAAGCCATCCTCAACCCCCAACTAAGGTGGACATCAAAGTGGCAGTGCATCAGCCATACACCTGTTTCAGCCATATATTCAATTAATTATCAATTTGAATGGTGTGCAAATCAAAAAAAAATAAAAAAATAAGAAAAATTGAATGATGTGCAAGCAAAAATCAAAAGTTAAATTAAAGGGAAAGTCTATAGCTCATTTATAATTAAAAGGTTATGCGTTTAAATTGGCGATATAGTCTTTTTACAAATATACAATGCATGATTGCGTATGATTGTTCTCACCTTTACTTTCAATTTAGTGGGAAGTGTTGTGCAAGTATAAATCACAAGTTAAAAGTCTAAATAATTTTGTATAAAGAGAAATGTTATACTTACAACTTTTTTTTTTTATAACCTTTTATAACTGTTGATGATTAATTAATGAGTTTAATTTAACGGTGTTAAGGTATGGTTGTAAGAGGTTGTAAAAAAAAGGTTGTAAATATAATCTTCCTCCTTTATAGATATCAAATATTATCTAAACTCCTAACGGACCCAAAGTTAATCTGATATCAGGTTTGAATCTCTTCATCTTTTTCAAAAAATTAAAATTCTAAAAAATCGAACTTACTAATTTTGTGTAGGTCAAATCCTAAAATCTAACCAGCCTTTAGACCAACAATTAGTAAAAGTCTACTTAATTTTTAGTTTATGTTATGCTCTATTAAGTGATCAAAATAAATAAAGAAGAATAACTTTTGAGATTGAGTCACTGACCTGGGTTATCAGCGAGGAACCGTATAGCAACCCAACCACCGGAGGGCACACTAACAGTGTTCCTCTCAACGGGGTCAACAAGATTGAATTTTGCAGGGTCAGTATTAGGATTAAAGTTCCCAAAACCTTGACCCACAACATAGAAATTGAACCCATGAAGGTGCAACGGATGGCTCTCAGCTCCCAAAATGCTTGTGTCCTGCAGCACAACCTGCACACGTGTATTATACGGTATAACCACTGTCTTGGTTCCATTACTGACCCTGGTGTTGTTTGGTGGAGTCCCCGTATAGTTGAATGGCCTTAATGGTACAACTGGGAAATCCGTTGTATAAACACCATTATTAGCCTGCCCAAAGAAATGTTGTTGGAGAATTGCAACGGAAGGTAGAGCAAACGATACGTTGTTAATGGAAGCTTCAAATTTTGAACTATTATTTGGTCCTTGGCATGTTTGGTTTCTTGGGCATGGATTTGTCCCAAGTCCCACCGTGAAGAAAAAACTCTTGTCAACATTTTGAGGCACATTCGCGGGGTGCTTGAAGCTATTCAAGCTGCGAAATTTGCTGCTGAAATTTGCAACGAAGGAAGTGGCATTGATGGCTGGAAGCGTTGGTTTCAAAGGGGTTGAAGAGTTAGGAGCAATGTTATGATCATGTGGTGTTGGTTTCTCGTACTCTAGAATTCCAGCTACTGTGGAATTGTCGAAAGTGCCCATCCCAGTGAAATATGGCCTCGCTAGCATGAAGAAAGTGGAGTTTGGGTACTCAGGTTTTGTCTTTAACAAAACATTTGTGGTTTGTCCTGGCGAAATAACGATTATCTCGGACGCGAAAGGTTTAACGTAAGAAGCATCAGCTTCAACAGTAACCAAGGTGTGGTTTGCTATGCTGAAAAACAATTCATCGTTGAGTGCAGCGTTGATCAAACGAAGTAGATAAGTCTTCCCTGGTTTCACCTTTAACTTGTATGTATCTGTTGATGTTCCACATTTCACATAATCAAAACCAATTAATTCATTATTAGTAATAATAACATATTCTCCTTCTACCACTTAATTAATAATTTATTTTTATTTTTTTTAAAAATGAGGGTTTATGTTAAAAGTTGCTTCAACAAGGTGTGTACCGTTTTTGGAGCAATTGTAGAGGGCCCCAGGAAATCCGTTAATGGTGTAGGCATCAGAGACATTTGGGCCAGCCCCTGTCTGAAGGGCTTGTGCAATAACAGCCTCAGGATCCACGTTCCACCACTCACCTATATACTCAATTATTAAAGCTAAGATCAGAAAATCCTTTAATAATATAAAGAAAATTAAAATAAAGATCATTGTGTGTATTGAATGTTGATTATTAATTGAGCATTATACCAAAGAGGATGGGGACTTGTTTGTAGGGTTTGTCAAAAGGGTAAGATTCGTTGCGGCGAGGGAGGAGGATTAGAGGTCCATAAAGTGTAGCTCTTAACCATGAGATGTGAGCATGCCAGAAAAGTGTTCCTCTCTGCCCAACGATGGTGAAATTGTAGACATAACTCTTTCCGGTTTGAATGGGGCATTGAGTTATGTAAGATGGCCCATCTGACCATCCACTCCGAACCTGTCTCACTCCATGCCTGTTTTTTTATGTCAAATTGTCAATAATCCATTGCATGCATGCATGGACATCCTATAGCTGTATTGTATAATATATATGATTTATTGTTTTGTAGACTTGTACTTAGGGGTTAAGAATGATTAACATAAAATCATTAGTTAAGCAAATTATAAGTTCATACCAGTGAATGCTGATATTGTTTGGAACATGATTAACCACCTTAACCAATAACCTGTCCCCTTCCCTTGCAACAACGCGGGGTCCAGGGAACTTCCCGTTCACGGTAATCATGCTCTTTGTGTTGCACAACCTCGTAACGTTTTTCAGCCTTACCTGCAAAAGTAATAAAAAAATATATATACATAACACTTCTTAGCACTTTTTTTTTTTGTTTCTGCAAAAAGGAGTACAAATTAATTAGTAGGTATTTAGGCTAAATTTATTTAGTTGCATTAAGTGGCGGTGTTAATTATAGTGATCATAATCATTTGAGAGGAAAAAAAACTACGGATAGTGAACTTGTCAGAATGGTACGTGTGGGAGAGGGTGTATCCTTAAAGGGTGAAGTATTTCAATATAGATAATGCGTACATCGAACTTGTAGTGCCTTGTAACGCCTCCATGCTTTGAAGTAGCCAGAGTAACTTCAGGAAAGAGACAGAGAAAGCTGGTGGCAAAGAGGAAGGACACAAAAAGTGCCGGTGATGAAGGAATAGTGGAAATCATTTTGTTCTCCATCAATATTAATTTGTGTTTTTGGCCACAGTCAGTGAGTAAGAGTGATAAGAGGATTGGTCACAACAACTGCATGCGGGACTTGCTTATTTATATAGAAGAAAAAAATTATAAACTAATGTTCGGTCAAATAGGTTTCTCAGTGTATACATGTTTCAGAACGAAGCATAGCCAGGAGAGGATTGATATTTACCTACTTCGTATGGTCCCATTTTCTTATACTTTGGAGTTCACCTAACGTTAATTATGTTGTCTCAATTACGTACCCTTCTCCCTTACTCCCCAATTACAAGTTTCTTTTCCATGTGCACCCACATCTGCTACTAAGACCTTTATTTTAATAAAAATGACCTTCTTGAAAATAAAAACAAATGCATTTAATTCAAAAGTGAAACCACAAACAAGCCGTTGACACGTGTAAATACGTAGGTGATACCATTTTAATGGTATTTGAATTTGTGTCATGTTATTATGTATGGAAATTCAATGCACGCCTAATATTAGAATCCAAATATGGGTTTTGCAACAGGGAAGGGTTAGGTTTATAATTTTTTTTTATAGCTCTTAGCAACATTAATCATGTATTTTAAGGAGTACAAATACTTGAGAATATATATTTTTTATTTACAATTCTTACAAATTCAATTATATATTTCAAAAAGAAAAAAATATTTCTGCTAATGCAGATAAGTTATCTGCATTTACTCCCAAAACGACGTTGTTTTTGGATTAAATATTAAAAAATTATAATTTTATAAAGATTATAATAACTCTGAAATAAATTAAAATTACAAAAATACCATGATTTCCGCTCTAGAACAATGTCGTATTGGGCTTATTGCAGATAACTTATCTGCAGTAACTGCAAAAGAAGGGAACCCTTTTACAAAAGTACAAATATTTGAAAGTGTATACACCAGAGTACATAGTTGAAGTTGTAAGAATTGTAAAAAAAAAAATTGTAAATGTAACCTATCTTTTTGCAATAAGCAATAATTATGTGATTTTCGAGCCAATAAAATTAGAGTTTGGTGTTTGTCATTTTAAATGACATAAGTTATGTCATTTTAAGAGAGATATACACAAGGAATGAAAATCATGGGAGAGAAAGTGGGTGATTTTTTTTTAAATTTAAATTTTAAATAAAAAAATATTTTTTTGTGTTTATCCCTCTCTTAAAATAACAAACTTTATGTCATTTAAAATGACAAATAATTTTCCCATAAATTTATGTTTGGAACCTCAAATCCAAATTTGCTTTTCCAACCAATAAAACTAATGAGTTTGAGAGTAGTAATCATAATGTATTTCAAGTTTTACAATGTTAATTGGGTGAATTTGTGGGAATTACATAACAGTGAAAAGCGTAAACTCAGTGTAGAGATATTCTGTTGTAAATTTATGGGTTTAACAAAATGATAATTTGCAGAGAATAAGCCATCTACACGTAGTTAAATTCGTTTAAGGGGAAAAATGGAAAAACAGAATGAAAAAAAAAAAAAAAAAAGGCATTTTCACATCAACTGTTAAGACTTGCCAACCAAGCATATATCAGATTGCTACACTTACAATTTCAAGATGCTTCTCAAAAACTCACTTAGCTCAAGTCACATTAATCATCTCGTTTTCGTGAAAGACTTAATTGGGTATACCTGGTTGGTGATTGCACCCTTCTCAACTAAATAGCCGTAAGTAAGTAAGTCAGAGCCAAAAAGAAGGAGAATGACATTTGATCCACCTTTTCTTCTAGCGAGGAAAACAGGGGAAAGATAGTCAAGCGCAGAGATTAGGTTGTCCTCTTATTTAGTCTAGCATCAACGCTTGTATCACTATCTTAATCAATAAAATAGTAAGATTAATTACAAAGCCAAATTAATCAAAGCAACATATTGACAACAATCTACGAACTATGATATAAGTTGGGCTTGAAAAATTCTTTTTGTTTAATTTGCCCGTAATCCAGCTTCTGTTAGAAATTAGGGCTTGGAATCTTTGGTTAATTTGCCCATTTGTGTAACTCAATATTGCAAGATTCGCTTCCGTCATTCGATGCAGGGAAAAAAAAATCTTTTTATTGGTTCGAACGCAACACAACAGGCAAAAATGAAAACATTTTGGAGGAAATAAGAGACCAAGTGTTTTACGTATTATATAGTAGCAACTAACCGCAATGGCATACGTGTGGGTCTATGTATCACTAACCCAAATCTTTGTTAAAATCTTATGTCAAAAGTCGTGACACTAAATATTGTCTACATAACATACAGGGCAAGCCAGGAATACACCACATAAATCAATAAAAGCATAAATTGAATATTATTTTAATATCATAAAAGGGGTAGGATATTATAACAACTAACTAGAGTTACTACCAATCAATATCACCATTACATTGATTATGTTGATCCAACGGTTATATTTATTTCTATTTTTTGTATGATTATGATTCTTCGTATTTAATACTTTATATTTATTTTCACTTTGTATGACTATTATTTCTCATATTTAATGTGAAAACATTAAATATGAAAAATAATAACCGTACAAAAATGAAAATAAATATAACCGTTGGATCGACATAATCGATCTAACGATGAAATTGATTGGTAGTAACATTGATAGTACCCCTAATTGGTTGTTACAATATCTTACCCCCATCATAAAATATGTAACTTAATGTTGTAGGTTCGCTTTTTCTACGGTCAATGTAAATAATTTATTTACATTCAGCCCAAAACGACGTTGTTTTGAGACAGAAATCAAGGTATTTTTGTAATTATAATTTATTTCAGGGTTATAATAGTCTTTTTCATTATAATTTTTTAATTTTTCAACCCAAAACAACATTGTTTTGGGAACAAATGTAAATAACTTGTCTACATTCACTTTAGAAATATTAACGCCTAATGTTATATATATAATTTTAACCATTTATGAGTAGTTATATTATAAGACTTGAATGTGCGCGTGTGTGTGTATATATGAAGTAGGGGCGCGGTCTGGATTGGATCAGTTTTGAAGCAAAAATCATTCGATCCAATCTCTTCGGTTTGATCATATAATCATCCATTCGGTTTAGATTTTTTTTCAAATCCGATCCAACTCAATCCAATTTTTTTCGGTTTGGATTGGATCAATTTTCGATTTTCTTAAAATCCTAAAATTTACTTCATGATTATTGTGCAAATAACATCTTTTGTATATATTGTATATATTGGCTTTGTAAATTATTATTTTTTTGAAATACAAAAGCATTAGTAAACTATAATATAGTTTTTTTTTTTTTTTTTTGCAATGAGATATGAAACTCTACAAAGATAAAATTTAGTTGATGAGATATGACTAGATTTTTTCTTGGGTTTAGTTGATGGGTTAATGGGTCTTGGGTTTGGAAATGTTTAGGCTATGATTAGAGAAAGACTCAAGTAGGTAGAGGAAAATTAATATATTGGATCGGTTTTCATCAACTCATCTAAAAACTGATCCAATCCAATTAAAATTTGCGTTTTTTTCGGTTTTCAATTTTTCATTTTTCGATTTATTCGATTATCGATTTTTCGGTTCGGTTACCGTTGTTTGAATCGGTTTGGATCGGTTGATGAACACCCGTAATAAATAATAATACGAAGTGGTACATACTTAATCAATATCTGAACCATGGGACTCGCTCTCACCGTTTCCCCGCCTTCCCAAACCCATCCTAAATTTGCACACAGGACATGCTCCTTGTTGCCTGAGCCATGGATCGATGCAGTTGGCATGAAACTGGATGAAAAGAAAGAAGTAAATCGGTCATTTATGCGTTGTAATATAACCACCATTTGCAGCATTAAGTAATATTAAATTATAAATGAGTTAAGCGAAGGAGGAAATGAGTTGAAACCGAAGTAATCATACTTTAATTAAACAACAACGTTAACAGATTTCAAAAATGAATCAAGGTTAGTTGAAAGCAGTAAGATGATCAAGGTATTGTTATTTCTTAGGTAGGTAAATCGGATAGGAGTTGTTTGGTGAAATATTAGCTTTCAGTCTTGACCAATTAAAAAGGTAACAGAGCCTGACCAAAACACAAGTAGAACAATGAGACACATTGACAGTGTTATTCAGGAGATATGGAGAATTATTCCCCCCAACATATTAAAAAAAACTTGGATTAGCAACCCCCGTATGCTTGAGCTCAACTACTAAAGTTCATGGATTTGACCAGAATATGACGATAAAACTAAGGAACCGATAGCTTTAGCTTTATATTTGGAGATGGCATTTAATTATCACAAAATAAACCTAAAGCTTCGAGAGACTATTGCTAAATAATTTTTAAAAAAGAAAATAATAAAGAAAGCAAAAGGTAGGCAGTGGACGAACCTGATGCAAGCATGGCAGGGTACGCACAAGCACCCCCCACTTAACTTGGTCCAAACATGTAGTACATGTCAGCTCATCTTCTGGACCTTTGATACTTCCCTCTGTTCCTCCTGGGTCTTGTTTAATCTGATTGAAACATTGGTGAAAGAAACTAAAAACCACTAACATTCTAGGAAAAAAGTAGGGAAGCCATTGATCCTCAACTTTTTGGAAAAAGTATAGGAAATGAGGTAGAATCTTTTTATACTAGTGTCAAATAAATTTGAAGTTTGACACCTCATCTAAATGCCTGTTAGATCAATTGTGTCACATGTTTACAAATCAGAGTCGTTATCTTTTTTGATCTAATGGCTCTCATATTTGTAAGCATGTGACACCATTGATCTTTTTTTATCTAACAGCTATCAGATGAGGTATCAAACTTCAAATTTGAGACTGGTGTCAAAGGATCCTGCCTCGTAGAAAATAGTCATTTTATTAAATTATACAAAGATACCATAATCAACATGCATTACAAGAATCATATATCAAGAAGTATTTTCTTTTTTTCCTCATAAGCATATCAAAGAAGAGGACATTATATCAGGACTAACTATCAGATAATTTGCAATCTATATGTCAGGGAATTGCCTAAAATATTTGTGACAGGCAGTAACATCACATGGACCACCAGTCTTGCATAGAGCAAACAACCAATAGTAGAAGCAAGTAATGACATTGAAATTATTATTATCAAGAAACACCTTCATAACTCAAATAACCTAGTGAAAATAAACAAAACAAAAGCAGAGACAGAGATAATAGAGATATTTACCTCAGCTGCACCCGAAGATGATGCCAACCCGGTTGAGTCATCTCTGTTAACATAAACAAATTGTGTCAACTTATTTATCACGGTTTAGCACTTCTTACATAAATGAAGACACACACAAAGGAGAAAACTAACGCGGTTAACCTGCTTTAAGCACCTTAGGAAATTACTATAAAAAAGAAACAGACTATTGGGTGCATTTCTCTCAAGAAACTTTCATTAAATATTGTTTCCTAAGCAATGCTATAATAACGCAGCCTCTTTCTCGCAAATGGTCAACTAGTAAACAATGCACGCCAATCAGTCCTTCAGGTTCATCATTCTATTACCCAGTGATCATGTTTCTTGTCCATGATATTTAATTTACCACAAATTTAGGGTGGAAATTAGTACCAAATACTTAATTTTCTAATTTGAGTCACTACTGATGGTTTCTGCACTATATTCCAACATGTTTTCAATATACAACATTAGTAACAATTTAGGGCACAAATTCAAAAATTCTGGCAAAACCAACCTCAGCAGCATCACTGAGGCATTACTATTTGTGCATGGAAAAAAAAGAATTATAGTCCAAATTCCATGGTTCTGTAACTTCTTTTAGACAAAATACGGGGACTTTAGAATTATCCATCACTACCAACAATTCAGCAGTTAGTGCCACCTCAAGAACAGCAAAATAGGGTGGACTAACCCTCCATGTCCTGCAGGAAAAGAAAAATAGAAACCAAAAATGCACACATACACAGCAAGCCTTTCTTATGATTTATTGGCTTTACTTTTTTTAAGAAATTATCATAACTCACATTGTTGGGACTGGAACTTTATATTTGTGAATAGGCAAGGAATTTATCTCTTCCTCGGTCATTGAGCAAGTGCTAGAAGCAGTATCAGAGTCCAGAGCTCTCAAAGTGTCATAATCTGTTGCAAAATGAGATGAAGGAAAAAGCTTATGAATAATGATATTCATATTTGAACAAAAATAAAGCTACATAAGCCTTTATATGCTTTTGGAATCCATTTAGAGCGTTTTCATCTTAAAGAGGATACCAAAATACATATTCAAAAGTGCAACTCAGAAACATAATACCTAGCTCATCCAATTCACGGTCAAGAAGTGCAAGCTGAAGTCTAAGTCCCTGTTCAGGAAAAGGAAAAGCATTCACCTCGCGTACCTTGCCAATCCTGCAAACACTCTTAACACATGACATTAGATGCTCAATCAACTCTGGCCATACGACATCAGCTACTCAGAACTCTACTACCCCTTTAATAGTCAATGGCTTGAGGATAGGCACCCTGTAGCGCGCTTCCCCCCATCTGCATCCTCTTGGAAATAATTTCTCTCTCTCAATTTTAATAAATCTTAGTGAGCTCAAGTCTCTCACTATCTCTATTTTTTTTTATTTTATGAAATTAACAATTCTACTATTCGATTGTTTTGTTTCGAAACCGTTAATATCATCCTCATATTTTGAATGTTTTGTTTTGACTCATTATCTTTCATTGATTAACATTTTTTTATACCAATGTTCGATGCATTAATGCTTTTTAATGTTTTAATGTTTCATTGAAGATTATTTTCAAACTGAAAGAATAAATTGTGTTGGACAAATAAAAAAAAATCAAAACTAAGGTGAAATACAAAAGAGCATAACAACATAATTATTGGGAACTTGTAATATTTCTAATTTTCAAATGATTTAATTACTGATCTGTTAGTTAATTTTTTTTAGTCTGTATTTTCTTATTTTTTAGACTCTGAAATCTGAAAGTGTTTACTTTTCAATGTTGGTTAGCTTGCTCGAGTGTTGTTCTACAATATATCTTGATGATTATATTTGAATAATTTTATTGGATTCAACAGCTTGTCCAAGCATCATTTAGGTACAATGCATTTTCACATACATTTTTTTAATTTATTTATTTATCTATAATTTATTTAAACTTTTTCTGGATCTGTTTTTATTGTAGATGGGTTTAACAATATGGAAACACGTAGTGTAAGAGTCAAGTGAACTGATCTTAATTTCTGTAATAGATTTCTTTCAATTTTTTGCATATTAGGTTTGTATTGTATTTGAAGTACTTTTATTTATGAAGAGGTATTTTTATTTTTATTTTCCCTCTCAATAAAATTCTTGCACCCGCCAGTGCTTCTTGCCCACCAATAAGAATGAATACCGTCACATTAAGTCGCTGTGGTCAAGACACTCAATTACTATATATATAGAGGCACTAACCCAGGTAGGATTATATTTCCATTTAGACTTAATCACATAAGATATATACTAACTTAAGCATCGAAATGCAGCTACCTCCCCACACGCTCTCCAATTAATACCAAGAACTAGTGTTATTCCCTCTGCATCTTGCTACTGTAAGTATTAAATATCTGATCACTGTACCAAATAATAATAGCTCAGTTGATGCATGGAAGCAGGGCAGGTAGGGATAAGAGCACGTGTTCAATTCTTTGCAGTATTATTTTTGAGAGAGATTTAAAACCTTAATCATGAATCCATCCCAAATAGAATTGCCTCACATGAAAATATTTGTAGTTAATCAAAAAAAAAAAATTATCTCATTACCATAGGAAGGGAGGTTAATGTGGGAAAATTTTAATATACACCCGACCCATCAAAAGATTTGTGCTCCTTTTCCTTTTTTGGTAAAAAAAAAAATTATTAAACCCTTTTTTTTATATTTTCCTCTTAATCCTTTTTATTTTTCATTTTTGGCCAGATCCACTATACACCCGGCCATCAAATAATCGCTCATTAATGTGGGGGGTAGGACATTATTTAGAGTGAACCGGATCACCATTGTTTAGGTGATCCCTTAGTGTAAATAGAAGGGTAAAATCAGAAAAAAGAGAAAATAATAAGAATAAAAAAGGAAAGAAAAATTAATGATGTGAGAAAGAATATCAAAAGATTCAGTAGTCCTGGACCATATTAAATATTGTCGGGGGTAGCTACTGTACGTATTAAATATCTGATCACTTTAGCGGGAAGCGAGGTTAATGTGGGGGGTAGCTTATGTATTAAATATCTGATTACCATAGGAGGGAAGGGAGGTTAATGTGGGTAGATATACGGTAAACAAGTAGTTTTTTATTTTTTTGATAGCCGGAAACAAGTAATTAATTACCGTCAAATTGTGTATTAAATAATAAATATCTGATTCAGATTCCATACTCGGAAAGGACTAATTAGCTACTGTAAGTAGCTATCAACTGTTCATTAAATATTTACTTAGTGATGTAGATACGCTGTTTTTCAATTGTTAAAATCAAGATTTTAAATAAAATTGAAAGGGAATTAAAAAATAGTAAAACATAAAATTGTAATATAAAAAAATCGTAAAAATATTAAAGTGTTTGAAATATTGATAAAATCATTTTGACGATGGAAAAAAATTTATAAAAACATAAAATTGTAATGATAAATCAAAATTTTAACAATTATGCTGTTTTCCGAAGAGATTCTTCTGCCCTGATTTTAGAAGTGATTTCTCTGCTTCTCCCGTCAACCCTTCTGAATTACCTCGTGTTGTTTATTCTTCTTTCGGTTTTGTGATCACCCAGTGAACGCAGCTTTAGAGTATTGTTCCGGAAAGAGTTTCATCGGCATGTCCAACTCATCTTCCTAAATTCAAAGATGAAAAGACCATTGCTTTCAAGGTCAAAAGTTGCGAATTGCGCTAGCCAAAAAGGAAATTGGCAAACTACAGTGGCAGCAAAAACTTTAATATTAGTTGTTAACTTGACGTGCCAAAGTTTAGAATCGCATTCCCAATTTGAAGTGCGAGAAAGTTTCTGGATTCAGACAACCAATAAAATCGTTGAATCGAAAACTTCGGGGAATTTTCTAACAATGTCTAACAGTTGAAAAAACACAGCAACTAACGCAAAGAAGTGAAACTTTTAAGGAATCCACGGCACCGTCAAGGAGAATTATCAGAGCTACAGGGATTGAGCACAACCATCAGAACCAAAAGAGTGAAGAGATAAATAGATAAGAATAGAGAAAAATAGCCTTTATCTTTTGAGAACCAAGTCCCTAATTAAGTTGCTAGGGGACAAAAAAAATAAAGGAATTCATCATATGCAGGATACAGGCAGCTCTATCAAGCCAACATGACCATAATCTCAACAACAAATCATCATTAAACCAGCAGCTAAGCTCAAGAATAGAATGAAAGCCCCGAAATAGGGCATAAATAATTTGAAAAATTACAAATTTTTAAACGATTCATGATTACCCAGCTAGAATAAAATTGCATTTCGTATGCAACATAACAAACCAATTTCAATGGATTACACAAGGAAAAGAAATTCAGGAAAAGTGACTTGAGTATCATACTATCATCAGCATAATGTCAAAACTTTACATTGTGTTCCGGGTTCATACATTGGGTATCACCAGCCAAGGAAAACGGTCGACGGAACCCTGAAGGACCCTTACCCGTCTGGTTAGTTGGTTACTCAGGGGTTAGCCCAAGTAATGGAGTCAAAGCTGGGCCTACCACGATTCTATGATAGTATCAATCTACCTAAACGCCAGCTATATATATCAAGGATAGGTGCCTAAGAACAGAGATATTAACTACACAGAATCCAGACTACTGTTCGTCTAGAACACATTGCAAGTTGAGAGAGAGCATCTCCAAAAACATAATATTGAAAGAATTCTCACCAAAGAAATAACTGGATATAAGAAAATCAAACAATTAAGCATCATTCTTCTTTCCCAAATTATGTCCAAGTCCACAGCCACTGCTAGTGCAAACTAGAAAATGCAAAAGCATATGTTTGTTCTTGTTCCCCAGCAACAAAAATCTTTCCTCCAGTTCTCAAAGAGCAAAATTGCACCCTTCAGCGACCATTCTTAAAAGAAGAAGCAAAACGTAGCTTCTATTGATTTGAATCGAACAGCAAGAGTCCCCAATAGAGAGAGGGGAAAACTAGAGTTGCTAGTTACATGCTATTTACAGTAAGAATCTCTTAACCGAAAGTGAAAAATATGAATTATTTTGCAAAATTGCTATGCCATGCCATGCCATGCCCAATCAATAATCCAAGATCGAAGCCCTGCTACGTCTCCGAGAGTTTCTACTGAATACTGAACTCACTAGGCTACGGCTTCTACTCACAGACACATGCTCAGAACCAGAATTCGAAGATGAAGATGACCTAGAACCAAATCTTCCAAAGAATGAAAAGAAATTGCGAACAACTCTGCCAAATCCACGACTTTCCCTAACCCTATTGCTTCTCACAGTCCTAGAAAATCTTCTGGGAGCACCGTTTGTATTGAGCCCACCATCCATCTCCGTGTACACAACCGGCAAATGGCTCTCGCCGGCTCTCCGGCCACCGGAAAATCTTCCAACGGCGAATCCCCCGCCGGGCAACCTCCATATCGTCAAACCGATTGCTTCCTCATCGATTTGCCCCGATACACTGTTTCCCAAAGGGTTAAGATCCGAAGGCAATTCGTGGCGGCACACCGGGCACGAGTTCCGCATCGAAAGCCATGGAAGAATGCAATCCGAATGATAAACGTGCTTGCAGGGTAACTCACGCGCCTCCGCGCCCAGCTCAAACGCTTCTTTACAAACGGCACAGTGCGCGTCTGTACCCACGTGTGCCTCACCGATCTCAACCGTCGGCATCGCCTCGATCGCCGCCTTAGACGCCGGCGGATTCTCCGGACGTCCAAAACCATTCACCTCGATCTGCGTAAACTGCTCAAGCAACCGATCGAACCCGGACCCTAACAGGAACTCCGACATGGTCGGCGGCAGAGGACGGAGGCCAGATCCATCGCCGTCGTCGTAGTACAATTCGAAGGTGCTTGATCCGTCTTGATCGGCGGCGGCGTCGTCCCCTGGTCCGCGGAGCACGATGACGGGGTTAAAAGGGGAGCGGTTGCCGGCGTCGCGGCGTCTGCGGCGGAACCCTTGCCTCGTTGAGATGGGGCCATCGGGGAAGGGACTGAGACGGTGGTGGTGTGAGGGTTCAGACTCAGCGTGGATCTCTTCAACAAAACCGCTTTCGCAGTGGGGGCATAGGATGTTGTCGTGCCCCAACAGTTGAACGAAACGGGTGCAGCTGTAGCACCAGAACGACGCCGTTCTGGGTTGTGGATCAGAATTCATGCTCCTTCGAGTTGATTGATTGAGAGAGAGATAGAGAGAGAAGAACTAGGAAGAAGAGATGAGGGTATGTGTGAATTTAAGGGACTCGAGAAGAGAGAGAGAGGAGCGTGTGTGAAATAAGAAACGTTTTGCGTGTTTTGCCACGCGTTTCTGACACAAGTTAAAACCAAACATGTAATAAGAAGGTACATGGCAATTTCTTACTTAATTATATATATTTTATTTCATGATAATTATTATTATTTAAAAAAAAAAATTGTTTAGAAATAAACAAATGGAGTGTGGGCGTAAGAGATGACCCAACCCTAAGCTAGGGTAAGAGGAAGAGTGTTGAACGTGGACTGCAAGGCAATAATAGACGCCTATTTTGATTTCAACATTTGAAAAAAAATTTGAATTAATTTTTGCATTTACTATTGTGATTGCTTTCACCGACGATAAGATTCCTTAAACGAGGAAAAAGAAAAGGTGGTCCTCCATTGCCATTCCATTCTCCATTAACAGTTTTTCCATATGATAACTCTACTCTTGAGTCTTGACCTTGTTGGCCCCCATTACCACCCCATTTTCCATGGTCCCATTTTCACGCGACCTTTATCTTTTTCTAATTTCTTCCGTCTTCTTACTTCATTTTACTCTTGTTTTGTCCTTGAGACAGAGATGTTCAGCTCAATAGACTGATATGAAGAAGATACCCTTGAGTCATGCAGATCTGTGCACAGAATATTATAACAGCATTAGTCAATGAGGTGTGTGTGTGCGCACAATGACAACATAGCAGTAAGAGAGAAAGCATACATACTTTTAGAGTTTATCTTGTATTTATAGAGGTTAGCTGTGGGTAGTGTGGATGGGCCTTTGGTGTCTCTGGTGAGGGCCCAAACCTGATTGCTACGCTGTCGTATTATGATTAGTATCCTTGACGGATACTATCCTTTATTAATATCAATCCATATCTTGAATTGTCCCTTGTTGGACTTATCACTTAATGAGCCCCTTATATGGGTCCATAACAACTCCAATTTCATTTTTGTTTCCTGTAATCACTCACATTATACCCATATGTTTATTTCTATTTTAATTATTCCTTTCGAGTAGCACAACACTCGCAATTGTTGGAGAGAAATGATTTGTTTACAAATTTTTTTTATAAATTACATTAAGTATAGTATGACCGTCATACTTAGGAGGGTGTATTAGATTGGGAATTTAATAGATTATTTTTGGACAAAGAAATTCATTGTTGTTCAATTAGGAGTTTAATGGATTAAAAAAAGTCATGTGGTATTCAATTACGATTTTAAAATATTATTTTAGAGTCCGTTCAAATTTGTTGCTATTCAATCAAAATTTTAAACAATAAAAAAATAATCTTGTGGTATTCAAAAATCTAACGATTTTTTTTTTGGTAAATAAAAATCTAACGATTTTAATGAATTTTCTATTGGTGCGAATTTTATATCATATACATATTTTCATTGAATATTCAAAGAAAATTTTGAATCTAAATTTCTGGGTTTTATTACATTAAAGTTTAGAAAATTTCTCAAATTTTTTTTAATTGATACATTGAAACCTTAAATTGCTTTGGGGCTATTGAAAAACAAGTTTTTAGTTATCTATTGACACAAAAATTGTTTGAAATCGTTTCCTATAGTGAATGAATTTTGTTCATGAATGTATTGATACGAAATATAGGTTTCATATTATGAAAGTTTCAATCTTTCTTTAAATTGATATTGTTTCATTGATATAAGACAAAAATTGGTTTGAGAGTTTTAGTTCTCTTGCTATTCTTTTCACTGTTTTATGATATTTTTAATATAAAAATCACATATTTTTGGGCCAAAATTAAAATCGCGACCTATAGCTTCAAAAATTATTTTTTAAAACTTCCAAATTTTCTCAAAATTGTGCTATTTTTGGGATAGATTATATTAAAATCTCGTTGGTTTGTTATTTCTGGGTTGTTTTGTGATGAAAATTGTTCAAAAAAATACTATTTTTGAGTTTTGACGAAGCTCCAATGGCAAAACCCGATTTCGAGCAGGTCAACCTGCCAAAGGAAAGAAAAAAATACTGCAATAGAGAAATCTTAAAAAATCCTAGGGATTAGGGTGAGATTGTGAGAGAGACATCCTATTTATATTTCTTACTAAAAAGTCTCACGAAATTTACACCAATAGAAAATTCATTAAAATCGTTAGATTTTTTAATACCACAAGATTGTTTTTCTCTTGTTTAAAATCTTGATTGATTACCAACAGATTTGAACGGACTCTAAAATAATCTTCTAAAATTAAAAATCCTAATTGAATACCACATGGCTTTTTTTCAATTCATTAAAATCCTAATTGAATACCAATGAATTTTTTTCCCAAAAATAATGCATTAAAATCCTTTGAAATCCCAATCCAATACATACCCCTTAGTGTAGTTTGTAAACAAAAAGTTTTTAAGTATTACCTTCCCCTATTTAATACGTCTTTATATTTTTTGAAGTTATGAAATAAGTTTCATATTTTTAATTATAAGAATCAAATTACAAATTTTACATTATAAAATATTTTAATATATATATGGGAAAGGATATTGTAACAACCAAGTTGTGTTACTACCAAGGGGTTAACATCTTCTCATGTTTATATGAGAATATATTCTTTTCCAACACACACAACACCTTTTGAATTTTTTTTTCTGTTATGTATAAGAGAAGAATATATTTTCACATGACATGAGAAGATATTAATCATATATATATATATATATATATATATATCATTTTTCAAGTCACTTAAGATCATTTGATTTCTGACTACTAAATTATAACCGTATAAAGATGGATCAATAGTAATAAAGGGAGAGAAAAAAATCATCATAATTTAAAGTGAATCAATTAATATAAAAAAATAAATAAATAAAATGACGTGATTTTTGAGTAATCAAAATACATATCTCTCAAATAATTTGAGTAATATTTTTCATATATATATACGAGGTGGGATACTTTGACATCAGTGTCAAATTTAAAATTTGACACTTCATCTGAGAGCCGTTAGATCAAAAAAGATCAACGACTCTAATTTGTAAGCATGTGACACAATTGATTTTTTTTATCTAACAGCTTTCAGATAAGGTGTCAAATTTAAAATTTAACACTGATATCAAAAGATCCTACATGTATATATATAACGATGCAAAATAATTTAACCTAATTTATTTTCATAATTTACAAACACGCGTTGAATACACCCTGTTGACCATGTCAACATAAGCTTTGATAGTTTGATTCTAGATCATTGGCCTTCCATATTATGACGATTTAATAATATTGCATCCTGACGTAAATAAATTAATTATAGAATAAGAAAAGTCAAATGTAGTCACGACTAATCGGTTGAATGAAACCATGCGCTGGATTTGCAGCATAAGACAAGACAGCCATATTTACCATTTTCATTTCCATAGATGATGGTGGCTTTCAGCTCACCTGTATCTTATGAATGGTAATAATAATATTAATTTATGCGTCCATTACTTCATTACTAGAATATATTTTTCTAATTTTGATTATTTTTTTTGAACCAGCTAACAAGTAACAACCTAATTCAAAATACTTTCTCCACAAATGGAGAAATTTTTTCTCTTGTAAACATGTAACTAATTTATGCGGAGATTGTAAAAACCTCGTTCCTTACTACTGATTTTATTATGGACATGATATAAAATACTATATTTTAGAAGGTTCAAGAAAGACATAAGCTAAGAGAAAATTAAAGAAAATTCTTTAAGGAGGTGTTTGGTAGAGGGTTTTGGTAGAGATACCTAGGTAACTTCCTCTGGGTTTTGTGTTTGATCATGTTTGGTACTGGAGTGAAAAAAATTTAGGTAGACAAATTGCTTCCCCAGCCTTCCCGATTTCTTTGTAAAATTTGATGTTTATCACTGTTCCAGAAAACCACACACACGCTGGTATTTTGGGTTTAGCGAGGGAACGAAATAATGAGACAAAACTGTGGACGAAAATAACCCTTGTTGTGGTTGCAGAGCTGGATGATCTGGCTTGATTAATGGCTAACCTACAAATCCATTGTTGGTAACTTGAAAGATATTGCATAGGCATATATTGCAGTGGAGTGCTCCCAGAGATGGAGACCAGGATAATGATGAGAAGGTTCTAGATTTTGTTGAGACGATGATTTATACACCATCGAAGCTGTGTGCATGACAGGGAAATATGCTTCAAAAGAAGAGGCCAAGAAGAAGGGGAATCAAAATGTTGATTTTGGCTTTGGGGTAGATGGTAGTTCAGGTATTGAAAGATGCAAATTCATTGTGAATGAAAATGATTTTTTAATATGACTCATTGCTATTTGTCGGTCTTTTTTTCTTGTTAAAAAATTTAAATGCCCACTTTTGTAATTATATCAATTTTTCCATCGATATTTTACTTCAACCAAACAAAGACTTTCAAAACTTAAATCAATTTTTCCAGTAATATTTCAGTCTACCAAACAATTTTTTTTATCTTTCCCATCAAACCCAATTTCATACAATATTCCTAGTAATTATACTTCCCTGATAAAAAAAAATTTCTCATCTACCAAACACCCCCTAATTGATATTGATCCTAATGCGATAATAATAGATCAAGTATTGGACCCGAAAAAGTCACCAAAAATCCAAAATTTCACTATTGGCATATAAATTCTATAAATAACAAGTAAACCCTACTAATATGACACTTAGGAGGTATATTGATTAGGATTTTAAAAGATTTTTTTGAAATAAAAAATCTTATAGATTTTAAAAGAATATAGGGGGTGTATTGGATTAGGATTTTAAAATACTTTTTTAAGATAATTTTTTTTATAGATTTTAAAAGACAATTTAGAATTAGAGGGACTTTAAAGATTTTTTTTACAATCAAGATTTCATATGATTGAATTTTAAAGGATTTTAATAGAATTTATAGGACAATATGAATTTACAAGATTTTAAAAAATCATATGAATTTTTAACAAACATTCAAAAATACAAGAGTCAATAAAAAATGCAATGATATTAATAAAAAAAAGTAAACCCTAATATAATTTTCTCAATCAATAAAACATAATATAATTTTTAACAAA